ATATATATATATATATATATATATATATATATATGGAGAGAGAGAGAGATGGTTGTTTACTCACTTGGTGCACCAAACAGTTGATTGAAGGATGTCTCTGCAGAAGGTTGTGAACTAAAGCAACAATGACTAATGCACCGGAAGGAGGAACACAGAGTGCAAGTCTACTCAATTTCTTACAAAAAGCAGCTGCCAAGTATGCTGGAAGAAGTGGTGATTTCAAGCATGAATCCAGAAGCTGAAAATCACATAATGCAGTTAAAGAGGTGATTTCACTAGCCTGAAAGACTAAAAAATTAAGCCTTATTTGCAAAATAGAAAGGACGTTACGCAGGAATGTGGAAAAACAGAAAGTGTATTTGAGCTAGCACAACAAAAGCCATAAAAAAGACATAATAGAAGACTAATGCCTTACATTATATGTTTAAATTTGGCAAAAGGATCCATTTTACTTAATTTGAAGACAGAGTTAACAAAGATGCCAACAACTCAATCATGGACCGTAAAACCTTCTCCTCAATTACACAATACTATTATAAAGAAAAATACACCAGCAATATGTAGTCAAATAGACCTCATCTGAATCAATATTTTAAATCGAGGAACATTCAAAAAATGGTTCATGGGCCACAAGTAAAGACAAAAGGTGATACTGGAAGGAGATTGCCCCATTTGCAGACATGGCCACGACCACGATAGTGTACAGATCTTGGGCAGAACAATTCTAGGCGTCAACTTAAAGCGAAAAGAAGCATATAATAACAAATAAACAATAAACTGCTGAGCGGGATAGATTCCCTGATGATTTTCTTTTAGCAGGCATAGAATTATGTCCAATCCTTAAGTTTACCTATGACCGGGGTGAATGTGACCGAGCTACCAATATCCATTCAACTTAAGACCAGCAGTTAGTAGTTGCGAAATTTAAGATCCGTACTCATTAATAAGATTCCGTGTGTCATAGAGCAATATTTTTCAACAAAAAATGAAACAAGAATATTCACAATTACCTGAAAGAATTTTGCCCTATGTTTTGCCATAAAAATAGAGGGCTCCAATAGAGCATAAAGCTTATCGTAGAAGTCTGGATATTCAAGACCGTGTTTTGTCATGAGAACATATAGGCTGCTTAGAGCCATAACACTCACAACACCACCAATATTATATGATCGGGTCAAGAAATCACTGCATATCAGAGATTAAGAACACTTAGTATGGTTTTCAAGTGTGAGGGATTGAATAATCAACAAAATATAAGTAAATGACAAATCACTACATATTTTACCACAACATTATTGGCTTAGAGAGGTGAGGAATGACATTCTGATGAAGTGTAACAAGAACCTGATCATCAGATGGCAGGAATGTGAAGAAAGGGAAAAATCAAGACAGAAGTATATTAATTAGAACTGAAACACAACAACAAAGAGCATGCTTGGGTATTCTTGGAAACTAAAATTTAAGCGATTATACGTTGTGGGTCCTTCAGAATCTGTGGATAATAAATGGGTAGTAGTTTAGGGTCCAGAGAAATGTGTTGATAAGAAATATGTTTGACCATCTTAATTCACAATCTGAGCTATGGGAAACATGTAGAAAATCAAGCCTTGTCACAGTAAATTTAGGGTCAGCTTCATATATTATTTTTCACCCCATTTGGAGCTCAAATATAATTTTTTTTTAAGAAAGGCAAGAATTGAAAGTCAGCTTGTTACTTTCAGATCAAGCCATTTGCAAATCATGGTCATATTCACCCAGTATATTGAGAATTCTATTGTGTAGCCTTTCTTGACTATGAAGATTCCATAAAAACAATTTCATCATTTCACAACAATAAAAAGTTAACCCAAGAGTTTACAATTATTATATGTCGAATTATTTATGACAAATAAACGTAAAGGCTGATTCATTCTTGCAAAAGCTATTTTTTCAAGAATAAAGATTTAGAAACAGTAACTAGACCACTACAGAACAAAGACTAAGCCCCTGTTTGATCCCCATTACCTGAAAAGGAAAATGGGGGGAATAGTATTTTTTAGAAAAATGAGTGGTTGAAAAAGAAGGAAAAGTTTTCGATTTACATATAATATTATTTTATAGAAGATTGTGTGGTTGAAAAATTGTGTACCAAACCTGAGTGGAAACCCAATTATTACAAGGCAAATACAAAATATTGAGATACTCGTATGATCTCCCAAAGAGTAATATCTCCAAACAAAATTATAAGTATGATCTTATTCAAGTGATTTGTGAGTAATCCTCTATCAAGTCACCCACTTCTCTTCAATGCGATAACTTAGCAGCTTTATGAAATATTTCCTGCTCCCAATATACAGTTTAATTATTTGAAACTGGCATTCCCAGATTATCCTCAATTTAGATTCCATCACAAATCCCCAAAACTAAACCTTCCTGGAAAAACATTAACCCTTGTTTGAGCCACCCATTTTTTGTTAAAATAGATTTTGTAATAGCTTTTGGAGAATGTGACTAAAAAGTAGAAAAAAGTTCTGATTTTACGTGTGAAATTATTTTATTGGAAGAATGTGATTGAAAATGAAAAAATGAGGCTTAACCAAGGGCTTAGTTTTATTTTTCCTTGAAAGGTGGATGACCACGAATAATACTCGGGATATCAAAGTATAGAATCATCTGAAGCCTTCCCTCAAAACTTCCAAAACATTTAGCAAGGTGCAATTATTGTTCTTCGCTGCTAAAGATATCGTGATATAGTTAAATCTTGCTAACTAAATTTTTCATGGAACCAATCACTAACAACGATGATCATGTAAGTCTTTTGGCCACCGCTTAGGTAAATGAAGAGATTGCATTCACCATAATATTTTCGACCTTCATTAAAATACAAGAAATATAGTGGGTAATGCACAATTAGTACTAAAATTATAGTTAAAAAAAAAAGCTAAGTGTCAAAGAAATGTTAGATTTAGCATCAAGGAGAAAATCAAAAGCTATTACCTAAACCATTCCACATTTCGCATTCCGAATTTTCATCTGAAGCTTCTAGAGATGGGATATGAGATAGCAAATTATGTATCTTGTGAATAGAATGCTCCACGCTACAAACACAGTGGTGTAAGTATCAGACTCCATGAGTGACAAAAGCTTCAATTAAGAACGATCCAAAACTATGGAAATCGAGAATAGGAAAGTTGACTATAAATAATTACATTTTTGTTACAGTATCTACATGTGGTAATTTCAAGATATTCTCAGGAAATAGAATATTTAGAGAGAAAGTTTCAAGAGTAAAATAATCATAAAGTGCGATGGTAATCAGCTTCCATGATTTTATCATTTTATCCTATCTTTAAGATGTCCAAAATTTATGTGCAAACAAATCCAATATTATTGTAAGTTTAACATTCTATGTGGGCACTGTCAAACGCCCAAGAATAGATGTTTAACATTTGCAAAACCTTGAGGCAGATTGACAACAAACTTCATTTCTTGAATCAAGAAGTAGCATCACTTTGATTTATGAAAGCCGAGTATTCTCAACAACCAAGGTGGTTTAGAGAGAGTGAAAAATGTAAACATACATATACACTTACCAAAATCTTCAAAACTCCCTCAAACACACCACACCTCCAGGACAAACAAAATAAAAATAAAAATTTTAAAATAAAAAGAGAAAAATGCCGGGTAGCGTGTCACCACATTACTATTTAAAATGGATGAGAAAGAAAGTCGAACCCAAAAATAATACAGAAAATCACTTTTATGCTAAAAGAATGGCTAGTTATTCCAGCTATACATAATGAGTTTTCACGATAGCAACTTTAAGAACATGGAGAGTAAATTTTTCAGCCTTGAAGGATAAGGCAGAATGTTTTGAGATCCAGAGTCATTTAAGTGTGGGTATATCATCTCGGGTGTTTTGAGTGTATCCATGTTGTAAGACCATGTGAAACAACTAGAAATATCATTTTGGGCAATATACTAACCTCGTAATTGACTGGCTCCCATTGTAAATGCCGGAAGTTCCCTTCTTGTCTTCTATGGGAAAATAAATCATTATGTAGAAAAGATATAGAAACTATAAGTATTTCCAAGGTAGGAGAGGAGGTCTGTCTTTATTTCATTTTATATTCTTAGGCGAAAACATCACCACCATGGTCAAGAAGTATGGCTAGGAGAGATACCTTTTGCCTCCAAGGTTCGGGCCAGCTTTTCCAGTATAATGTAAGTGAAATACCTGGACCAGACAGCATTAACTGAATGAGTTGAATTAATGTATTTTTTCTCCAAAGATTACAGTGGATCTGATATGCTACTGCAGCACAAATATTTCTAATGGAAGGGGAACAATAAACGAAAACATTTCTTGAACTATATGTAGCTTCAACAAAATATCTCAGTCTAACAATCTGTTTTTGGTAATATCTAGGCAGCGAAAAACCAAAAAGATGCTTGAAGTGAAATATGAATTCTCATTATAAATAGAACTCATAGAAAACACATTGACAATACAGGGTAAACAAACTTCACGAACACATGCTTAAGAATAACTGGATCATACCGGACATCAATGTAATTGAAATACTTCGATGCAAGCAAATCTAATAAAGAATCACCGACAGTCAACGTTGAGTGGACCTGCAAGCATAAGTAGTTTATAAATAATCTGAAATAAAGCACAAAATGTCTTATTTTTACTGCTTGTTTGTTTCCCTGAAATTACAATGAGGTTACAAAGAAAAAGAGTAGTGGGTCACACTTGAGGATAAGTAGTAGTTGTGGTCCTATGTAATGTGTGGTTAAAATTAATGGTCTACTGAGGTTTTTATGTCACAGAGTGGTGTTATATGTGTCGGAGGGACGGAGAGACGATTGATCACTTGTTCTCCATTGTGATACTGCTCATTTACTGTAGCACAATATTCTAGCATCACAACACATGAATTGGGTGATGACAAGGCGTATGGAAGACGTTTTAATGACATGGAGGAGAAAATTTCGCTACAAAGATTGCAATCTTGCATAGAACCTTATTCCGAATTGCATTGTATGGTGTATGTGGAGAGAAAGCAGCCGCCACTACTTTGATGATCAAACACGAACAACAGAGCAAATTAGAGAATTGTTTTATTTTACATTGTATACGTGATTTAATACTGCAGCTGCTAAGCATATAGATGGGCTACCCAATATTATGTTATTCCTTTATGCTTTAAATTGATAATACACTTCCCGTGTATTATGCATTGATTAATAAAATATTTGATTACCTTTCAAAAAAAAAATTGATGTTCTACTTTGACCTTTATAACATAATGGGATTGTAATCTCTCCTAAACAAGCTTTTACCTTGATAACCAATTTATTAGTATATGATAAGCCTTATTCATGATACACATGATTCAAATGATCTATTTAATAGTCCAATAAATTAAAAATTCTAACAATTGCACCAGATTAAAATAAATATCTATATACCACTCCCTCTTATAATGTCTATTGGTATCCCCATTGCTCTTGTAAATTGGAGCATCTTTAATTCTATATAAGATGTACCACAACCAAACAAGTCACTTAAACCTTAACTTAGCATTAACTACGATTTATCAATTTTAGTATGAGACATGTCATGTAGCTCCCTTCTTTTTGTTTTGGGTGTGAAACCGAAATATCCAAAGAGCATTAACTCTCCCTGGAAAGGAGGTGAGCCACAACCTTGTCCGCGAACTTCAGTTACAACCAACACTCAATACCACAAGGAAAAATTAGTCTAGGCATAAAACTTGCCTATAATAACCCATTTAATAATATAGACAAAACTATCCCATTATATTAATCATATGAATAAAGAAAATAAATTTTATCTACCATTATTTGGTTTTCAGAATAGAAAAGGGGGGAATGAAGATATCAAAATAGAATTGCTCTACAAAATAGACTGGTATTAATAAAATTTAACTAAAAGAAAGATTGTGCATACTGCATCAGTTTCATTCAATATAACCCATAAATTGTAATTCAACAAAAATTGCACCATTTAAAAGAATGAGCGGCCAAATATTTATATGTTCCATCACCCAAAGAGCAAGAAGAAGTATAGATCTGCCAGGACAAATTACCAACACAAAGGGTATGCACTCCTGGAAATTTTGTATAATAGGTTTTGTACTCAACATAATTCATCAATGCCTTATCCCATATTTAACTAGGATCAACTACATGTATGAAGATTTCAACAGTGAAATAATAAAGGCTAGGATCATGCTAATGCTCAACTCTGGCTCAATATTCACTATACAATGTCATCCTAGTCCCTAGAAAAAAGAGTCGTCCTTTTGCAGCAGAACTTGGCACTGAGCAGGCTTTATTGTTACCAATATTCACACTAAATAAAATTTGCTATAGGCAGATTAAATCTAAAAATTATTACTCACAATGGAATGAAGAAGCTTGTGATAAATAGCAGAATGAAACTTTCCCCCATTACCCACTTTGACAAACTCCATAATTGTCTCCAGAACAACTTCCTGTTAAAAATTTCATCGTAATTACAATTTTAACAGTGAGAGCTCATAGATGGAACATATAAAAGGCACTTAGAAACATCAAGTAAACAGTAGAAAATTTAAAGAAAGAAAAAACATATATTAATTACATACACGAAGAGTATCCTCAGATTGGGAGGAAATAGAAACTTCAATAAGGGACTGCACGAGGTCGTCGAACTTGGAGCGAAGCCACGTGCGGTAGATGAATTCAGGGTCCGCATTTGAGTCACTGGACGTCTTGGAGAAAGCAGACGAAGGGAGTTCCGGGAGTAAAGGGGTGAAAAACGACTGCAAGGAGAGGAGAGATTCAAGGGCGTAGTGTGGAGGAGACGACGGGCTGATGAAAGAGAGGAGAATCGGTAGATTGTTAACGTGAGCTCTCGAGGAGAGGAGCTGTTGGCCTAGGATTTTCAGGTCCGAGAGACTGTATTTGCCGCCTCTCTTCTGCTTCTTACGCGATAACCCATCGGAAGAGGTCATGGCAGGCAGTACGTACTATCCGCTGGCAGCTTTGTTGATGAAGACGGTACGGGGTTTATAATTAGGGTTTAAAGCCTGAAGGGGCCGGAATAAAATATATTCAATAAAATGACAGAATTTGTCCTCAATCTGTTGACTTGGTAGCAATGGATCCTCACTCTATATTTTCTGACATTTAAATGCCCCAATTAACCCGTGAAAAATGAACTTGAGCCCCATTTGATTTGACTAAAAATTAGATTTTTATTAAATTTTGATAAAAAAAAATTAGGGAAATAAATAGTTGAAAAGTTATATATTCTATGTAATTAAAATTAATTGTTGACTTTGACTTCAACAAAAATGGGCTTTGAGTCTAATCTAATAGTAAATAAAATTTACTTGGTCAAATTAAAAATAATTAAAAAAATTTTAGCAATAATTCTTATATTAATATAAAAATAAATAATTTAATGAAACATATTTTAATTATACTCTCCAATTTCTTATGTTTGACAAGAGTCGTGGTATGCGCTCCATTTTTCATTTATCCCACATTGTCCCCTCAACAAAATTTTGAAATATTATTAAGAGTTTGAGGCGTAAAAAATTTAGAGGTTCAAACTCAAAAATTATAGTGAGATTTAGCGGGTGTGGGGTGTCATGATAGTTAAAAATTATGGTGAGATGTCAAAATTTTATTAATTGAGTAGTAAAAATAAGGCGACAAATTGGGACTCGCCTCGCGAAGCACGAGTATTAATTTCAACTTTTGTTAATAAACTTTCATGAAAATGTCAACTTGTTCTAATCAAATCGTTGAATACTTTCAAAGTTTGTTACTCTATTATTAAATTTGTAATAAAAAATAATGGCTAATTTCCATCTTTCCTTGGCCACAGACACGAGACAAAGTCACTTGTTTGTTTTGAGTAGATAGAGAAGGGAAACTTGGCGTTTGGTAAACCGCGTGAAAAGATAGTGATCTGTGAATCCATCAACTGCGTAAAATGTGAGTTCATTAATCTTTTGATGTTGTAAGCAATAGTTTGACACATTCTCACTACGTAATTTTAAAACTACTCAACGCACAAATTGGTACGGCAAGGCAGGTGGAGGATAGAATTAAAACTGAATGGAAAAATTACAATTGGGCCCCCAATCAATTGGAGATGTAGTAAATAAGTCCTCAGCATATTATTATGATAGTTCCAATATCACCTTTTACTTTTTTTGTGAACTCAATGGACAACTTTATCCTTATATTGGATAACATAAAACCCATTTTTATTAGGAAAATAAATTTACTCATATCCTTAAATAAAAAGAAAGAAAAAGCACGATGGAAATAAAAGAGTAAATTTATTTAATGGAAATTGGGGGAGACTTTGTGAGGCTGGGTGGCTTTGGTTACATTTTATTTTATTTTTTGTTTAACTGAACATGAGGACATAATAGTATTTTCGATTAAAAAAAATGAATTATTAATTAAACACAAGGTAAAATTGTCACTAGGGATTCAAATATTATAAAATGAAAGATTGGAGACTGAGGTTGTCAAAATTACATGTTGGGGACCCAACATGTAATTTTTCCAAATTGTATATTAATATTGTTGGATTATTCATTAACGTTGTACAGAGATGTTGACCATTGGGTTGCCAGGGACCAAGTCGACAATTTGTACTTTTGAAGCGACTTCAACGGACTAATTACACATGTTGACCTCGAAATTCAGCGGTGCTACCTGGCAAAGAGATCCCAGCTCCTCTTTTGTACACGTGTTGTTACTTGCGCACTTGGACTGTAACATTAGACTGCTAGTTATCATAGCTCCGATGGGATATGCGACGGTTGTAAGTACTCCAACGTTCAAGTCAAATGATGAAGAAGATGTATATATCTTGGATGTGAGACACTAAATGAGAATATTGATAACTAAAATTGGAGAGGAAATGTTCATATTTGCTATTGTAGAAAGTATGTAGCAATGGTACACTATATTTATAGGCATGGCATTCAGAGTGGCTACTGTTAGATAATTTGTTGTTAAATGTCGATCGTACCGACATATATTCAATACAAAAAATCAAAGGTATTTCTGAGATAATTGTCGAGATGCTTCACGAGCCATAAACTTAACTCTGATTTAATGACACATTATTATATATAAAATAGTTTTTTAGATAAACAAATTGATGATTACGCTAGAGTTATAACTAGTAATACATTTTCAAGGTTATAATTCTCTATGCCGAAGCTATCATATAATCACAGTGTATCTGATCACATCATGATCGTAGTTGCACTCAAGTTATTTAGACAATGAGGAACTGGTTTTCAAACACACGGGCTATTCAGACAAGTCCTTGCATCGTGTTTAGAAGGATTCATATTTCAAACACCTAAATTATTCAGGAAAAGCCCCACTGCAATTTTGAGGGAGGACAATTATCTCGGAGGTATAAGTTATTCAGACTAGTCTTCACCTCGAATCTTGGGAGACTAGCAACTTAAAGAAATGAGAAGGGACCTCGACAATGAAAAGCCCTTTGAACTTCATTTAAAGTTCTTAAATACTCAAAGCTATGGAATGGCTATAAGCCCTCGATTATTTAAGGCATATGCCAAACTTTAAGGCCATAACTCTAGCCAATTGATGTCACATCTGTGGTACATGAATCTTTCATATCCTCATTCACGGTTCAAAAATATCAGGATTTAGGTTCGAGGAACCGTAGTAGCCAAGTCACCCCGACCTTAGCCTGGATATCTCCCATGAGTGGAGGCCAATTGCAAATACTTGTTAATTCAAAGAGTCCATAAATCCTCGAAACCTAAGCTCATGGGACTTTTAGAAGCTAAATTAGGCATGTAAGCTTTACGCACATGCCTCGCTTTACAACTAACTCTTGATCAAGGAAGGTGATTGTTATTAGAATTAAGTTCCTTATACAGATGAAATGTACAGAAATTTTTATAGATGATGAGGTAGTAACATTGGATTAGCTTATTTGAAATTAGTTTTTGTCCAACATCCAATAAAATTGTGCCAGTAGGTAACTTGTCAAACTGTCTAAGAAAAATCCACGTACATGCTTGGGATTTATGCTTTTTTTTCCACATAATAGGTGTTTTTATTAATTTTTTTTTTAAATTATACAATAGGCCCTCTAATATTTGTCCTTCTTCATTCTCATCATCGGACTATTATTTTCATATCCTTTA